CATGAAAGGCTGCCCTCTGCCACGTGCTGCTCTGCCTTCAAGCCAGCCGAGTATGCACTGAAGCCTCCAGGAACCGTGAGCTAAATAAACCTTTCTTCATTTCGCATGTCAGGTATTTGTCCCAGCAAGGAGAGAAGAGAAACTGGGATACCTGCAACTCTCATCTTTCGTGGTGCCACTCAGTCTCCACTCTCTGGGCACAAGGGGGTCTTCATCTTGGGATTTTTTTATGTTTTGAGGCGGGGTCTCACTATGCTGGCCAGGCTGATCCCCAGCTCCTGGGCCCAAATGACCCTTCTGCCTCAAGCTCTCCAGTAGAGGGACTACAACAGCTCCGGAGCACCAGGGCCCACAGAGTCACAATGCAGCCCAGCGAAGCTCTGCTGTGGAGGCGTGCTGGGAATGACCCGCACAACAGTTGGCGGATCCCCTTCCTCTGCTCTCAGTCTTAAGCGAGCGAAGAGCACCTACAAGGTAGCGCCATGGGATGAACCTAAGTGTCCCCAGAGGCCTGCATGTCAGCATCCTGGTCCCAGCTACTGGTGGTTGTAGCAGCCATCCACCCTGGTGCAAGTGGAAAGCAGTCAGTCGCTGGGAGCACATCCTGAAGGACACATCGGCGTGTGCCTGCTTCCTGGCCACCGCGCGGCTGGTGAGCAGCCTTGCCCCGCTAGGCCCTGCCACCTGATGCTGGGTGCTTCAGCATGAGCCTGAAATGAAGGAGCCCAGGGACCATGGATGGAAGCCCCTGAGACCTCCAGCCAAGACATTTGCCTTCCTGAGCAGATTTATCTCACTTCTTTGGTCAAAGGAATGCCAGACTGACTTGTACCCAGCAAGCCTAACTCTCCTCTAAGGATCCTAAATACTTACATGATGCAAACTTCTGACTAAAGTGGAAACTGAAAAAATCATGCTAAGAACAATGAAGCAAGGGCCACACAGAGCTCAGCAAGGCGTGGTCCAGGCGGAACTCTTCCCTCAGAGGAGCCAGCTGCAAACTCATCAGGGATCGTCAGTGCATTGTCCACTGACGATATTTTCAGCTTGTGACACGTCTGTCAGGCTGCGGTCTCACATTAGGGGGCCGTGCAGTCTTATTAACACCGTGAAACACACTGCCTTACTTCCGGCTCCTTTAAGTTAAATTCAATAAAATGAATATAAACCATCAGCTGCGGGCAAAGCATTATGTACTACTTATGTGCTGCTCTTCCATTAAGCCTTTTCCCCCTAGAAAGATAGTGTTTTAAAGTACTAATTATCTAGGTTTTCTTAATGTGCACAGTATAACCATTCACACTCTAAAATTTAAAATGACATACTGCTATTCAAATCCCCAAAAAAGCTTATATTTTTTGGAAGCACTTAAGCAGGATCTACTTAAAGGCAGAAAGGGCACAGAAACTACTGGAGCGGGATTTACATGTTTGCTGCATGTGGCCTTACATCCCTTTGTGGGGCCCTGCATTACAGGACAATCACGCTCCAATCTGAGATTTACCTGTCTCTCCTACAAGGTCTCTAGAGATGCTTAAGAGAGATTTATCACACCATTACTGGTTAGCACAAGGCAACCCCCAGCAGTAAAGGCATCCTAAATCCTTTCAGACAGCAGTAGGTCAGAAACAAACCCAGGTTAATCAAATAGGGCAATGTGCATGCAAGCCACTGGACATCCATTTGGGGCATCTGGAGGCATTACCAGAATGGATCTGTACAGAAATACCACACAGTGAGGCAGAGAGGACAGAGCCCACGAGGACAGAGCTCCACCTGTCAGCCACCCCCATCTCCACCCTCAAGGAGAGGGGAAGGGACAAGGTGGGGTCAGCCTCTTCCCAGCTCACCCACCTGCACTCACTCCTCACGCAAAGCCCCTCTCCTCTTCTAACTACATCTTCTGTGCGGCAAACGGTCAGCACTTTGTCCACCAATGGCCCTCTGTGGCCCCATACAGTGGCCTCCTCACACCATTCTCTGTGACGAAGCCTCTGGAGGAAACCACTGCTGGGCCCTGGCACAGGAACAGGTCCTGTTCCACCCACTGGCCTCATTGCCTATGGCAGGAGGGGCTGAGGGGGTTCCCACTGTCAGGCGGCGGCTGCTGGAAAGCTTGGGCTCACACAGCCTTCAGCCAGTCACCACTTGGGCACCTCGCCAAATCTTCTTTCTGAAGAAGTCTGAGGGCTGGTGAGATGGCTCAGTGGTCTAAAGCACCTACTTAGAACAAGCTAAGCTAAACAAAGCACAGGGACCGCGGTTCAATCCCCCAGCACCACATGCCAGCCAGCCCCGCCCCCTGGTGGGCTGAGCTGGCCACACACAGACACAAAATAAATAAATATTAAAAAATAATAATAATAAAAAAAGAAGTCTGAGCACAGCACAGATGTTCCTCCACTTCAGGGCTGAAAGTTCTCTCATCTAGAAGGTGCAGCGTGTACCTGACCCCTGAACACCGAGCTCTGCCACACGCACACTGCAGGCTCAGTGCTTCTCCTCCTGACGGCAGGGCTGCTCACCAGCACTCTGAGAAGGTCAGAACACTCGCTGCACACCCAGGAAGGGAGACATCAGGCTTTGTCAGTTTCCACTGCACAAGCGTCACTTGTCAAGACTTTCAGGGGCTGAATCATCATTAGCCGAGGGCCCTCAGGACCCCCATAACAAGAAGGCGAATCACACCGAAGCAGGGATAGTCTCAGTCTGGCCAAGTCAAGGCCAAATCTTTACCTGGAGGAGGATGCTGAGGGCCCTTCTTCCCCAGCTTCTACCTGACCCACGCCCACACACAGGCAAGGTGGAGGCCCATGCCTACCTCAGCTCCATCACTGGTGTGAACAGCATGCTGAGGAGTGCAGGGAGGCCCGGAATGGGCGGCATCAGGGAGGTCTCTCTCAGCAGCATGGTAGACCCTGCGTACAGGGAATGAGTCAGCTCGAGCCGCACCAGCTCTGCTCAGCCCATGCTCCTCCCAGTCAGTCCCAGCGGCCTGCAGCACCCTCTTCTGCTGAGCCAGTCTCTCCCGTCCCCACACCGAGAGTGCTCCCTATTCTTGGGTCCCACACACCCTACAGACAGACACACAAGAAAGCCCAGCTATTCATCTCATCGAGAACAACTCATCTGTTACTCTTTGCCTTCTCTCATTGGACTGCCAGGTCTTCCCAAGGCCAAGAACTCAGACTAGTTCTCCTTTGCAGCCAAGCATGGAGGAATGAGCGAGTGATGAAGAGATTAATTAATCCCTACACCTTCCTATGGAAGGAAACTGAACAACATTCCATGTGTACGTGTTATTAGGCCTTCACACTGAGCCGTGTCTCCAGCTTTTTAATGTCTTGGGACAAGGCCTTGCTCAATTGTCCAGGTTGGCTCTAGCTGATAATCCTCCTGCCCAGCCTCCTGAAATGCTGGACTGCACGTGCTGCTCACCAAGCCCAGCTTCTGTTTCCTTATGTGCATCAGCCAGTGCACTTAGGAACCAGCCTAAAAGCCTGGCACATGAGCACAATAGAGAGGGAGACAGAGATAAATAGGCCCTCCGCTTACCAGTGGTGTTGACAGACAGTGAGGCTGCGACCAGCATCCTCTGGTGCAGGTCTGCAGGGGCATCGCTGATGATGACAGAGTTGATGCTTTCCTTGTCAATCCAGACGCACCTGAAGGAAGAACAGTACCAGAGGGACTGCTAACACACCAACCGGGCCACAGTGAGAGCACCTCTGGAAGAGTCACACACACAGGTGCGGCAAGCCCCTTCTCTGGCCACTCTCCCCACGTGCACTCCTAGCTCCCTCTGATGTTAGATACCCCATGTGTAGACACCAAACCTGCTCGCCACCCAACTCTGCCCTGCATCTGCATTGCATCGGACAGAGGAGAAAAAGTCAGCCCTACCCTCCTCCTCTGTTCTCTCTGAGCAAAAGCCAGGAGCAGCTCTACAGGCGTCCTTCACCCCTCCAGCCCT